ATAATGATAAAGAGTGGAAGAAATGGGATTATTTACTTGGGAAGGTTATATGAAAAAGGTACTCAGATATGTAAAGATAAAGGGGGTAAATCATTCACCAGGCCTACTATGTGTAGGATAATAATATACAGTCTTACAGCACAAGAAAGATTTCATTTGCAGAAGTGGGGGGGAAAAAAAAGACAAAAATAACTAACCAGTGAGACAGAAAGTCTAGGAGTAATGCAGAATATCCATTACACAGTTTAGCCAAATATTGCTCTGGAGTAACATAGCTATAGCTGAGCCTGCCATGAGGCAGAAAAATAATCTATATGGCATCACTCCTCTCTTTCCTTACATACTATAAATCTCATTGTGGATGGATTCTTTAAAAAAAGATTCTGCCTCCTGGCTTTCTTACCAGACATCCCTGATCTCCACAGGGACAGGTTTCTCTTGTCTCTTTCTGTGTGCTCTTTCTTTCAGTAAATCATCTAAATAATGTTCACCTGTCATCAAACACTGGCTCTGTTTTTTTTGAAAACAAATATCATAGCAAAACACATTCCAGACTTACCCTGTCATTTCAGTCCATGACATGCGGGTTAGAATATTCACTGTCATAAGATACCATTGCTAGTAACACTAATTTTGGATTTTTTTTTTTCATGAAAACACTCAAAATAAGCACTCACCGTTGTTGATTTCCAAGCACTTCATAAGTTATTATACTTATTGAGAATTAATCTCGTAAGTACACACTCATTCATTTGCTTTTCCACTAATTTGCTCTTGTTCTAAAAGCATCAGAAACAAGTCATCATCTGATGGGAAATTATGACAATCTCTTTAGAGACTTACTTTATGGTTGACGATATATATTACAAATGGATTTGCGAAGTAACATCTTGCTGCTGTCTTTTGGCACAACTAAAAGATTACCATCTCTGATGCTGGCACTGAAATCAGTAGATGTACTAGAACTTGCCCTGAGTGCCAAACTAGGACAAAATTTGGTTATGTAGTTTGCTGAGCAAGGTCATTTTTAAAATGGCTGAAGGTGTCTACAGGGACGTCTGCCTAAAGAGGTGTTGAAAGAACACTGGAGTTTGTCTCAGCTCTCATCTACCTAGTACAGAATGAACAGTGGTGAGGATCCCTTAAGATCACCTTTCAGTTTAGCTCAGACATTTCATCAGTTTGGAGAACTGGCTCCTTTTTCCACTCAGTTTCTCCTTTTAGCAGAAGAGAATTTATTTTTCAAATGCATCATGATTCCCACAAGGTGGTGTTTCCTTTTTGTACTGGAAAAAGAATTTTGATCAAAGCATTCTAAACTTTAAGGATATTCTGAATTATGTTAATAGGCCACTTTTCCCCTTTCATTTTCATCTAGTTTTACTTTCCTTTCTTGGTGACTTTTCAACTCTTAGTCATGAATAGTATAAGATGACTTTTTATCTATTTTCTGCCTCTTGATGATGCTATCTTCCTCTGGACAAACAATTGACTAATGTAAACCAGGCAAGTTTTTCTGCTATGGCCTAAAAAACGCATTTATGGCCCATCATACTATTCGCAGTATCCTAACTGTCTGTCTCCTAGTTTGCATTTTGTTAATTACTGAGATATTACACTACAATGCTCTAACACATCTATCTGAAATAGTTGAATAGGTTTACTTGTAGTAATTAGAAGTAGCAGCAAATAACAATTTTCATTGTAAGATAACAGGCAATTATATATTTATTTTTTTTTATAACTTCACATTTTCAGTCATTCTATGATAGCATATTTTACTGTAAAATTCTTATCTTAATTTTTTTCTTAGCCAAAACCAAATAAATGCAAACGCTGGCACTCTCTTACTGTTCTACAAAAAATTACATGCTATGCTATTTGGCCTAGAAACATAAGCAAAAATCTAAATGTACTATTAGCCTTTAAGGTACTTTTTTTTCAAATGTCATTCTTTGAGGATCAAAACATGTTTGCTTTATAAAGCTCTTAACATTTCAAGCTGAAAGGCTTGAACAAGCTTTGAACTCTGGAGTTTGTCATGCCTTAAAATTAAAGGGAAAAATAACATTAAATGGTACTGTAGCTTGTGAACCTTCCTTCTTTAAGTTTCTGAGCATCTCAAAGTCCTCAAACGTACAATTTTCTTGGAGCAGACTGTGATCCAAAGAACCTCATGTGTCCCATGGAATGTTGTTGCTTTATTTGGCTATATCCTTATAGGAATCATAAAATGAAAGTGCATTCTCTTACGTGTCAATAAACAGCTGGCTATCTGAACAATTTGCTGTCCACAGATACTGAAACATGCCAGCAGAAACAGAGTGCAGTGCTGACTCAAAACACCTTTGTCCCTGACCTGCATATCTGCCACCTTTGCATAGCACCCCCCCCCCCCCCGCCCCGCTCTTTGAGATGTTGGGAACTACAGTCAAGATTTATCTGCCTGTAATAAAAACTGTTTGCTTGCCATCTCTTTTTGGTCTTGGTATTTAGTCCTCTCACCCAATCTCTCCTCTCTTGAATTTCACCCTTTTACCCAGGATTGAGAACATATTTTTTTTTCTTTTAATTGACACAAAATTAAGATAATAAAATGACTTCTAATTAATCATATATATACATGTGACTTCTCAGCAAAGCTGAAAGGAGGCCTGTGAGTACAATTTCTAAGGGAACGATTGCAACACGGATTTATGGATTATAAAATTGTTTACTACTGAGAAAACAAGAGTCGAGAAAGGACTGTTCTCATTAGAGGATGTTTTCCAAGTAAGGGGCTGCTTCACAGGCATAGCACAGGTAGCTCATAAGTTTGTGTGGATTCTCCTATCAAACCTTCCATCATAAAAACCTCTGAAAAAACTGTCTTTTGTCTTATGTGTCCTTCCATTACAAGGCAAAGTAATAAAATACTAATAATGGCTCAAAGAGGCTGTAAAGAGACCTTAAATCCTTTAAACAAATGGTTAGAGTCTAATTGTCTCATCTGCTCATTGGTATTATAGCCTTCCACCAACAGTATACTGTTGAACTTGTAGACTCTCCAAGTCACAGATAAGCTTTAAAGAAGGAAGATAACTTTTATTTGTTATGGGAAATAAAACTAAAGTCTCTACTGACTGTCAGACAAGGAGGCATCTGATATTGTGGATCCAGTCAGGCAGAACACAAATCAGAATAGTGTCTAAAGGGCAAGGTAATGGAGGAATGACAAGTATAAAACCTACACAATAAAATTATATTGCAATGAGAGAAAATTAGAAAATTAAGAGTAGAGCCTAAAAATAGAACAAAACTGTCCCTTGAAGCCATATACAGTAGGCATAGTTGCTACTGAAAGGGTACCACACTGGTTTGTCTTTAGACTAGGCAGTAGTGATGTGTCAAGGCTGGCTTGAAAGAACATGCTGGTGCATGTGCACAACTATGCATTTACACACCCAAAATCTCACTGTGCTGCCCTAGGTCCCTCTGTGTCATTGAGAAGTTTCTATCTACCATAGAAGGTGTCTGTGAACCAGCAGTTGCTTTTGTTCCAGTATGGGTTAAGAAAACACAGATCTTGGAAATGTGTCTCCAGTTATTTCCTGATCAGAAGACATTACATAGAAAGAAAGGTTAGTTATTAAGTCAGATAGCACAGACAATAAAGACCCTACATACACACGGACACACATGCACACAAGAATACATCCCATCCATTATGCAGCTTTTGCAGTTTTTCCTCCAAACTGTCTTCAGCTTATTTGATGCCACTATCTTACAATGACACCTGCTAGAAAAGCTTAGTGGAGCCACTGACAGCTCCCCTGGAATTGCTGCCTGTCACTGCCTAATTCTCAGTCAGCAGTATATACCAGCTCTGACGTATGCTATATTTCTAATATGCCTTTCTTTCTCCTTGAGGCAACCTATGCTTATTATCACTGTGGATAGTACTCCTAGGCCTGTATTCCTGAAGTAAAGGTGCAAATGATATCTGGAAACCACCACAGTATAATTGTGTGCTTAAATTTTAAATCCCTATTTAGAAAACAACTCATTGATCCCATTCCTTTCATGTCCAGAGTTAATCCACTCAGTATTTCAACAGAAGTGCATTCCCTTTGTTTCAGGTTAGATTTTAAAATGAACATTGTGCTAGTTTTAATATATGAATGCTCAGCTTGTGATGTCCATTTTAGCTTAGCATCTCTGAGGACAGTGGGTAAATATCTTGCAGTGATAAAGGATTTTTATTTCCCTTCCTCTTACCACAAGGTCTTTTACCCCTCTGGGGTAAGTGAGAACATTCTTTTGCATGTGTGTGTCAAGTCAAAGCTTGCACCAACAAAATAAATGAGGTTCTCATTTGATTTTCATCTACTAAAATCAATAGTGGTATATCAGTTTGAAAATGATAAAACCAGAATGGGATTCAGTTATTAAACTTTTGTTTTCACTGGCTTTTGGATAACACTTAACAGTCTCCATGAATATTGCCACAGTTATTGCAAGTGGGAATGTGGAATCACATTGATGCCAAGTGCTTCAGACACACCCAGCAAGATGATGCAAGATTATTACATATAAAATAGTCTTTTAAAGCCACATTTTAAATGATGAATCTAGCATTTCAATTTACTGTGAAACTGTTATTTGCCTTAGATTAACAAAAAATCTTTAATTTCTGTAACTAATAACTAAATAATGATGCTAGAAAAAAAAAAGTGTTCAGCAGACATTGGAGATTCCATCTGTTCCCATTGACCTAAGAGATGATATGAATCAACTTCCCTTAGAATTTACTTGAACTTTGCTCAGAAGAAGCTTCACATCTAGGTAGAATTCCCTTACTTTTATTTTTTCCCCCCAAGTATGCACATCTGACACTTAGAAATCACTAGCTACTGGATTATTTGCGTAGAGAATTTTACAGAGTTTTGCAACAAGAAAGACATTAAGCTCATAATGAAATATATTATTTAGATTTATAAAAGGGTTTCTGATCCTCTTACCTTTAGTAAATGATGATGCAATTGGCCTTTAGAGAAGTTTAATTAAAGAAAGAAACAAAACCCACCACATTAAACTTCTGACCATATGCTTTCACTGCAGATTTCTGCTTCTATTCTGGAGGACTGATAGTGGATGAACAAAGCTGCATCCTTAACTTCAGATGGAGCACTATCCATACTAAGAGGATTGTCCTACATAGAGTGAGCAATTTGACAACCAGGGAAACAACAGGAAGCTTCCTGATTTAGATAACCAGTCACAAATTGTTAGGTAAGTTATAATTTCACAATCTACATTGCAACCTACAGAGTAAACAAATTCACAGACAAAAGAGACCTGTCAAGTAATTTAGAATAACAAATATATGCAATAATGTTTTGATACGTTTGTAGACATTCTGCAGGCAGAAAAAGAGGCTAAACTCATTTAATAAATGATTCATAGTGAATCATTCTCCCAGTATGGTAGCAAAATAAAATGTATTTTTTACATGATTTGCATGGGAACTTGTATATCTGGGAAAAATTCTTTAGGTAGAAAGTTTGGCTTTCTTACAAAACTGTCTATAAAGACATCCAGCAAGCAGGACTCCAGCTTTTGCAATGTAATTACACCACACATTTGTCTCTTCATAAGCAAAGCCATTGCAGGAATAAAAGCTTTCTCCTACTCATCTGTTAACCTTGCATAGAAATGTTTCAGCAGGAAATCCCATCTACAGAGTGTCTTGTAAGCTAGTACTAATATAAATGGTGAAATCAAACACTTTGCTTCAGTTGGTTGGGGAGGGCCATCAGAGACTTGTTTTTCTCTCATTCCACTTTCATGAGCTGTTCTTTTCCGACAGACCCGGTTTAGTAGCAGCAAATTCTGTGTCTCTCAGGAAAGTGAGCATGAAAGTTTGGCACCTTAAGCCTTTCCCTTTGACACTCTAGATCCTTGATGCTTGCTGAGGTGCTTTTATTTTTTTCCCTTTTTCTTCTGATAGGGTGATATGTATGCAGTTCAGAAAGCATTCCCACAGAGAACCCCCGAAGGACAGCCAGCCTGTGTATCTGATTACAAATCAGCCAACTACCTGATTCCTAGAACAGCAGAGTAATTGGCTGGGGATTTTATCTGTTTCTCTGGCTGATTCCAATAAGCAGGCATATTTATTAACAATTTATTTACAGAACACAGATTGATTTCAGGAGAGAAACATCACCAGCCTCTGCAAAGTGTGAGCAAACGATTTCTTCCGGGCCCTCAAATAATCTATTATTGTCAAAATACCTGTTTGCATTGGTCTTTATCTCAGGGTTTTAGACCTAAACACTGAACATGCATAGACAACACAACATGGGGTGAAAAGGTTTTTCTTGTTTCCTGAAGAAAACCTGCAGACTAAGTGCTTCCTAAGTAACACAATTAGCTGAATAAACACACCCCACACCTGCCTCGGGCTTCCTGGGCAATATTAGGCAGCCTCATGTTGTTTACTAATTCACACAGCTCCTCCCTCACAGGTGGTCAGGAAGCAGATGCATATAGTCAGGAATGCATCAAGTCGGCATTTATGTTATGAAGTATTCTTTGTGTTAGTTTCAGAAATCTCTAGCTCACCAAACTGTAATAATGAACAATGAAGCAAAACTATTTTCTGATCAGCCTTTCTAGAAAATTGGATTATTTTTGTTTTGTTTTGTTTCTCTTCACTATATATTATACTTTTCTCTCTTCCTTCTCTTAAAATAGCCAAGATGCAGTCAAAGACTTCACGGTATTCTGTTTAGAAGTTAAACTACTTTTCCTAATAAGATTACCTTAGTCAAGAATATTTCCTTTCATGATGAAGAGAACAAATATACTAATATTATTTGGTTATGCTCAGGATCTGATTTAGGATTAGATATTCTTATCTGAATAAAGTCCAGTTTTTGAAGTAATACTGGTAAATGTCACTTCTGAAATTATTTTTTGTTTTGGTGGCTCCACTCAAGGTCATGCTGAGCAGCTTAAACATATTCTGCCACAGATAACTTGTTATCATCCATATATAACTTGTTAGATGTTTAAAACAGCTTAAGAATTAGAAGCACTAGGTAAATGATGATGATAACTCAATTTTAAGGTCAATACTTTTCTTAAAAAATTGATGAGTTGTATATAAAGAGGAATTTCTACAGGAAGTGGTTCCTGTAATAGTCTATCTCAGTCTGAAGTGTAGATCCTCTCAATGTGATTATCACAGATGCAGTATTAAATTACAATGCAGAGCATAATTTACCTCCAAGAGAAAAACGAATAAAACTAAAAATAAATGAGTGTCCATCAAAGGAAATAAAATACTGCATAAATCTGTTTTAAGGAATAAATGATGTCTAATAAGTTCATAATTACCTTATTGTGATAAATGTTGAATTAATGGAATAAATGATTTTGTGTACAACTTTTGATAAATCACAAAATAGCAGCATGTTATCAGTTTACTTGGATGCAACCCAAATAAAATCTGCATTCAATACATAGCCTTATGTCTGCAATGTTGTGTTTAATGCCAGTCAAAATTCAAGTTTAGTGACATTGCTCACTGAGATACTAATTTATTGGAAAAGGATGAAATGCCATATGCATTTTGGCTTTTTTTTTTTTTTTTTCCTTGTAGTACCTTCTGCTGAAAGGTTTTTCTCTGAGTAAGATTCTAATAGAGAAACAGACTCTGATGTAAGACATTTCTTTTTCTTAACGGGCCAAGAAACTCTGTTGTTTACCACTGAAAGAGTAAAGTTGTTTGACTGAGATGACAGAATTTTACCTTACCAATGCAAATGTATGGAGTTTTTCATACTTCTCTATTAGTTGCAGATGCATAATTTGCTCATTGCAGACAGAACAGACAGCTTACTCTCCCTAATAAATGTGTATTCTCATATCCTCAGGGAAATGTAAATGTAGTTTCAGCCCATTCTTGTGCACACCAGCCACATCATTAACTGGTCACAATTCCATTGAGTGTCCATGCTTGTATCTCATACCTTTTTTCTTTCTTTTTTTTTTTTTTCCTTGACGGGTAGTGTTCACATACATGGAGAACTCTTCATAACATAGACTAAAAATCCTCTTTCTCTATACAGTCTGTTTTCAAATCTTACTGACTCGTAAAGTCCTCACAGCTTGCATCTCCAAAGACGGTCATTCCTGATGAGTGGAATCTAATTATGAGGTAAGAATTAATAAATTAAGTAAGTATGAGACTGTAGAACTCAAAATTCTGGAATATAATGCCAGAGTTGGAATACAAAATTCCAGGCTGTAAGGAGAGAGGCTAGAGTGTGCCCGTGTTGATACTGTGCCATGACTTTGAGACTGTATCTGTTTGGTGCAAAAAAACTTGCTCAGAAGTGTTTGTAATATTATCCAAAGAGGTAAGGGTACATGAAAGAGGTATTTTAAAGAGGCAGAATGACCAGAAGTTAGAAGAAGACAAGGAAGAGAATGAAACATTTACAAGAAGAAAGTGACATACAAGGAGGCAGCCAGTGAAAAAAGGAATGAGGAAAACAATTACCTTTGCCATCCTTGAGTACAGATACTTGTACATACAGACATGATAACATGTCTGTACATGTATCTTTTATAGTACTTTCATATTTTTCTTTCAAGTCATGGAATTTTCATTAATTTTGTTGAAAATGAATGAGTGTCCTCAGTAAAGGGTGTGGCATGTGGACACACATGCAAAGAACCTCTGCAACCTAGTGCCAACAAAAAATCCTACTATTATTAGTAAAAATTAATTTCTCACTGCTAATGAGGACATGACACCTGAATTCTAAATAAAGAAGAGATTTTGGCTGTGATAGCAGCCCTGTGATATCACTTTGTGCCTGAAATTCTTGCAGAATCCAGTGAAGACATCTCACCACTCTGAAATTCACTAAGGGTGAGCCAAATTTATTTACTGTTTCCTCACAAATGCTCTTCACAGTCCTCAAATTTTCCCTTTCCTTTATTTTAATTTCTGATATTTTGCTGAATTATTTTCTTTCAATCACACTCTTGTCTTCCCATTTATTCCTTTTCTACGTTCTTCCACATTTTCATTCTCTCATTTTTCTTGTGTTCCTTTTCTTTCCCACGTTTGGTTTTCAGCTTACTGTTTTTCATGCACTAAACTGATGCCAGAGGCACAAAAAGCTAAAGAGAATGGAAATTCACTTCAGAAAAAAGACCTCTGTCATCCCCACATCCTTTATGACAACGAGCAGTAGAGTCATGTTCAACAAAAATGTCTGAGAAAACATCGAACAAGTTTGTGGAGTTATAGTTTGGCCATCACATCTTACACTTATCAATATGCCCACACTTTTATGTTGCACCTGGCAAATTGGAAAGTAATAACAGAAATGGTTAGACATTGTTTAATATGTTTTTATCCTATCTGGAGTCATGTAGAGCTGTCTGCTGTGTGAGTAATTGGACATGATACAGTAAGATAGTAACACAGTCAATCGGCCTTGGAAAAAAAGTCATCTTATTTGATGATATTCGAAGAATGGTCAAATTACAGTTATTAAACCTTGATCTTGACACAAAAATAGTTTTAATCCTGTGCAACAATCAGGATAATTAAGCAAGGAGCCTGCAAAGGCTGATGATAGAAAGGCTGCTGGTTTGTTTCCACTGATACACTGATTTAAAACTTGATGAATCTGAGCTGGGGTTTGAATCATTCACAGAAGTGGCTGCCAGAGCTAAAATTTGGATAAGGTCATGAATGTAGAGAGTGTTACTACTTGGCATTTTCACAAATCATCCCTTTCAAAGCTTTATTTTCTGACTGACTCTCATGCAATAAAACTGCAATTCCTTGTGTTTGTTTGCTCAATAACTTACAGATTCATGTTCATAATTCTAGGGGTTTTCTCTTTCTTCTGCCTCTGCCTTGCTGAGAAGAGCTGGAAACCTCTCTCTAATAACATCTGGGAAAAGTAATTGAAAATATGCCCTTAAAAAAAGAATCAAGATGTTATTTATTCTGCAAGACAAAGCCAAGGCACTCCTCCCAGATACTCTTGACAGTGAGAATGATAGAGGGAGGATGATATTTTATTGGGC